TCATGGGCCCAGTAGTTGTGGCTCATGGGCTTAGTTGCTCTGCGGCATGTGGGATTCCTGGACCAGGGCTCGAACCCGCGTTCCCTGAGTTGGCAGGCAGATTCTTAACCACCGCACCACCAAGGAAGTCCCCCCCTTTTTTTAAGTTGACATGCTGTTTTTAAATTTTATATGGAAGTGCAACAATGTTTGTATGGAAATGCAAAATTTATATGCAATAGCTTTTGAAAGTTTGAAAAAAAGAACAAAGAGAGTGCAGACGTACGATCACAAACATATGGCCGACTTATTTTTGATAAAGATGCCAAGGCAATTCAATGAGGAAAGTATAATCTTTTCAACAACGGTGCTGGAACAATTGGTAGCCATATGTAAAAATTAAACCTCAACCCTCATTTCACACTATAAATAAAACATTTTCTTAAAATGGATCCTATATCTAAATGTAAGCACTAAGCCTATAAAACTAGAAGAAAACAGCAAAAAATCTTAATGACCTTAGGTTTGGCAGAGATTTATAAATATGATTAAAAAACTATATATAAAAGACAAAATTATTCTGTCAAAGAGAAACTGATAAATTGGACTTTATAAAAATTTCAAAGGTCTGCTTTTCAAAAGACAATGAGTGGTGATCATTTGGTAGCACGTAGAAATATCAACTCACTACGCTGTGTACCTGGAACTAACAGAGTGTTGTAGGTCAGTTATACGTCAGTAATAAATTTTAAAAAAAGGAAAAGAAAAAAGAAAAGAAATACTGGACCTCACACACACAAACCCCACAAACACACATACACAAATTATTTGGATGATACCCCTCCAAAAAGAAAGACAATGCTAAAATAAAATGACAAGTCAGATTGGGAGAAAATATTTCTAAAATGTATTGCCTGATGAAGGACATATATCTAGAATAAAAAAAAAAGCCCAAACTGTTACAACTCAATAATAAGAAAACAAACAACCCAATTTTAAAACATGGGCAAAAGATTTGAATTAATGCTTCATTAAAGAATATATACAGTTAGACAGGGAAAAAAAAGAGAATATATACAGTTAGTAAATAAATACATGAAAAGATGCTCTGCATCATTAGTACATGGATGTTTATATCAGCTTTATTAATAATTGCCAATCCTTGGAAGCAACCAAGATGTCCTTCAGTAGGTGAATGGAAAAATAAACTGTGGTATATCTAGACAGTGGAATCTTTTTTTTTAAAGCTTTATTTATTAAAGTTAATTATTTTATTTATTTTTGGCTGTGTCCAGTCTTAGTTGCGGCATATGGAAGGGAGGTATGCGGGATCTTTCATTGAGGCGCGCGGGCTCTTCGTTGTGGCGCGTGGGTTTCTCTCTAGTTGTGTTGTGCGGGTTTTCTCTTCTCTAGTTGTGGCGTGCAGGCTCCAGAGCAGGTGGGCTCTGTAGTTTGCTGCACACGGGCTCTAGTTGAGGCGAGTGAGCTCAGTGGTTGTGGCACGCGGGTTTAATTTCCCTGCAGCATGTGGGATCTTAGTTCCCTGACCAGGGATCGGACCTGTGTCCCCTGCATTGTAAGGCGTATTCTTTACCACTGGACCACCAGGGAAGTCCCTGGAATCTTATTTCGGGCCAAAAAGAAATCAGCTTTCAAGCCATGAAAAGAAATGGAGGAAACAAGTGCATATTGCTAAGTGAAAGAAGCCAATCTGAAAGGGCTACACAGTGTATGATTTCAACTATATGGCATTCTGGAAGAGGCAAAACTATGGAGACAGTAAAAAGATTAGTGGTTTCCAGGGGTTGGGGAAGTAGATGGATGAATAGGCAGAGCACAGAGGATTTGTAGGGCAGTGAAAATATATGATACTATAATTATGGATACATTTGTCTAAACCCATAGAATGTACAACCCCAAGAATGCACCCTAATGTAAACTGTGGCCTTTGGGTGATTATGATGTACTAGGTTTATCAGTTTTAACAAAGGTACCAATTCTGGTGGGAGCTGGCAATAAAGAGGGAGGCTGTGCATGTGTGCGGGCAGGAGGGATGTGGGAACTCTCTGTACCTTCCCCTCAGTTTTGGGGTGAATCTAAAACTACTCTTAAAAAACAGTTTTCAAACATGAAACACCCACACACATGCACACACACACATGCACACACACATCTGACCTAAAGTGTGCCAGAAAAGGAATTAAGAACTTTTTGTCCCCACCAAAAGGCTAATAAAGAAATTCACAGAAAAGAGAGAAGAAAGTAAGGTTCAGAACAATAAATACAATATTATTCAATTTACTAAAGTTTATCGTGCAAAATTATATTTATTACAACTGTAAAATAAAGGGAGTGATACTTTGCTGTACACCAGAAAATGAACATAACATTGTAAATCAACTATACTTCAATTTTAAAAATAAATAAAATTTAAAAAGCAAAAATAAATAAAATAAAAGTAAAATAAAGGGAGTGGTAAATGCAAGATCAGGATTGTGGTTGATTGTCACAGGGAAGGAAGAGGATGAAATCAGAAGAGACCCACACAGTACTTCAAGGATAATGGTAATACTCTATTTCCTCAACTGGGCGAGGGTGCAAAAGTCTGCCTTGCATCATTATTCTTTATACCTTCACACCTTTTATAAATATCTTTTATCTACCCAATTAAAAATAAAGAAAAAATAGGGCTTCCCTGGTGGCGCAGTTGTTGAGAGTCTGCCTGCCGATGCAGGGGACACGGGTTCGTGCCCCGGTCTGGGAAGGTCCCACATGCCGCAGAGCGGCTGGGCCCGTGAGCCATAGCCGCTGAGCCTGCACGTCTGGAGCCTGTGCTCCACAACGGGAGAGGCCACAACGGTGAGAGGCCCGCGTACCGCAAAAAAAATAAAAAATTAAAAAAAATAAAGGAAAAATAAACATCAGCCCACTTGTGACAAGCCAGGAGCAGTTGGGGATGATATCAAAGGTCTAATTGGTATTGGGATGGGATGAGGACGGGGACTTGCCCCATTGCCCTGAGAAAATTCTGGGGTGATCTTGATGGCAGAACTAACTCAAGAAACTGAGGTTGGACTCCATAAGCATGTAACAGACCCAATGTTGCTCTTTTCCAAGTGAATCACATCTGTTCTAAATAGCTCATGGATCAAGCTTCAAGTGAGTAAAATTTTCTAGAAGCTTAGGAGAAATTTCAGTGTAAAGAACATGAGAGTTTCATCCCGTATGTTCAGAGACCTTCTTGCTTTCCATTTTGAGAGTAGGATCCTGTGAGAGTTGATGCAGATGGTACGTAGAGATGAGAGCCTCTATTCAGGTACGACTCAATGGTAGGGACAGTTAAGGAGAAGGGGTGGCATGAGAAGGAAAAGATTTCTGGGGTTAGTTTGCAAGCCCCTTAAAGACCTAATTCTGAGAGTCTATATTTTAGGGAGTGCTAGGGGTGGAGGTCCATCTAAACACATTACATTTTCTTAATTTTCATTAGGTCTGGCCCAGACCTCTCTTCCTCTTCTGAGGCTGCTTGTTCTTTCACATCACATCACATCACCTGCAAGGCTTATTGCCTCACTGCCTCCCCTCACACCCATATTCAACCCCTACTCTCACCAGATTCCCCGGGGCCACCTGCACAAAAACATTTGTCTCTCAGATAATGGAAAATTTATTCTAAATTCTTATTTTAGATTGAGAAGTATCCGGTCTCTGATGCCTCCGTTGCTAATATGTCTGTTCTGACGTGTGGTTTTTGCACAGTTGAAGGGTCACGCTGGCCCTCCTTCTGCCTTCAGGCAGGACTGCCTTCCCCAATTTATCATGGCTCATTTCATCCCCAAGTAACCATCTGAGGGCCTGGTGGGTGTTATGATGGGGAGGGGAGAGGAGTGTGGTCCCTGTGAAAAAAGGCATGGGCCCTGCCATTGAGGAGACCTCAGTCAAACAGCAAACGTTCGGAGGCAGGGACAATGGTTCCCATAAGGCACCCTGGAACTGAAGAGAGATGCTGTGGCCTCCATATTGCCCCTATTCCTGACCCTCCTCAGGTTTCTCAAGCTATCGGATGCCTTCTGTCTCTAATTTCTTCAGGATCAGTGGTTTGTACTTTGGCCATGCGCCTGAGGCCTGGGCTTACTGCTAGGTCCTCTGGAAATCGACTTTCTTTTTCCCTCTGCCCTTTCCCAGGGGACTCTCTCTGCCTTGTACTCAGATTTCCACTGAGACTGGATAGCCTTAGTCATACTGTAGAAACAGAGAGTTGAGGTATGAGTCTAGAAAAATTTATGTACAAATTTGTGTGGGCTTTGGATGGTAGGATTATACCAGGGGACTAATCTGATATCTAATTTGGTGCCATTACCAATCTTCCTCCCCGTTCTGTCCTGCTCTAGTCTGGTTACTAGAAACATGTAAGACTTGGAGCAGGACAGGGCAGGACACTTGAATTCTCACCATTGCTCTCCCTGTGACTTTCTGGGTAGCCTTCAAGCAATTTCCTGCCTCCTGTCCCCAGTTATTTCATCAGTGAAATGGATGATTGTTGTACTGACCTTTTCCAGAGTTTGTGAAGGCTGGTGGGATATCAGACAATTGTGTGCTTTGGAAGGTCTCTGAACTCTATGGCAGAATTTTTGAACAATTGAGAGGGCTATCATTTCATCCACAGCCCTAAGGGTGCTATTGATGCTGGAACCCACCTGGTTAATCTGAAGGATGAAAGCTGATTGCAAAGTTGAGAATAGGCCCCAGGGACTTCCCTGGTGGTCCAGTGGTTAAGAATCCACCTTCTAATGCAGGGGATGCAGGGTATGTTCCCTGGTGGGGGAACTAAGATCCCCCATGCCTCGGGGCAACTAAGCCCATGCGTCGCAACTACCGAGCCCACGCACTCTGGAGACTGTGCGCTACAACTAGAGAGAAGCCCGCGCACCACAACTAAGACCTGACACAGCCAAAAATAAATAAACAAATAAATAAATAAAAGTTTAAAATAGGTCCCATATGAAAGGAGATCAGACAGTTAGATTTACTTCCTCTTTTCTAATTTGAGAGGTATCGTGTTGAAGAAAATCAGTGTGTTAGAAGCTGCAGGGGACCTAAACACAGTCACCATGAAGCTGGGCTGTGTCCTCATGGCTGGGGCCTTCTACTTTTCTCCTGCTATTCTCTGGGCAGCCCAGATGCTACTGGGTAAGTAAAATCTTGGAATGTGTGGAAATGGAGATATTCCTGACTTTGGGGAAAAGACCCAAAGGAAAGAAGCATGGACTAACTTCAGCCCTCCAAAGAAGCCGTGTTCAGGTGGGATAAGAAGGATAGTATAAGAAAGTTTGGTGTGCAGGACTGAATGGCTCTTTCTGAATACAAAAATCTTCAAACTTTTTCCATCCTAAAAGTCCCCTTGACTATGATGTCTTCTTTAGCTACCATCTCAGTTCTTTTCTTCCTTTTCTCAGATAAATTTCTTGAAAGAGTAGTCTGAACTTGCTTTCTCCACTTCCCCACTTTTCACTCACTCCTCAATGCTTGCAGTCTGGCTTCCACTGGAAACTTCCACTGGTCAGGGTGCTATGACCTTTATACTGACACTGCACTTTTTTTTTTTTTTTTTTTTTTGCGGTACGCGGGCCTCTCACTGTTGTGGCCTCTCCCATTGCGGAGCACAGGCTCCGGACGCTCTGGCTCAGCAGCCATGGCTCACAGGCCCAGCCGCTCCGCGGCATGTGGGATCTTCCTGGGCCGGGGCACGAACCTGTGTCCCCTGCATCGGCAGGCGGACTCTCAACCACTGCGCCACCAGGGAAGCCCAACACTGCACATTTTTAAAATCTTATCCTGCTGGACTTCTCTGTATTGGGCACTGTTGATCAGTTATTCTTCCTCGGCAATCTCTACTCCCCTGGCTTCTCCCTGTACTCCATGTATCTCGCTTGGTCCCTTTGGTGGCTTCTCTTCCTCTTTTATAAAAAAAATTTTTATTTTATTTATTTATTTTAATTAATTAAAAAAAGTTTTTTTTTGGCTGCATTGGGTCTTCGTTGTTGTGCATGGGCTTTCTTTAGTTGTGGCGAGCGAGGGCTACTCCTCATTCTGGCGCACGGGCTTCTCATTGCGGTGGTTTCTCTTGTTGTGAAGTGTGGGCTCTAGGTGCACGGGCTTCAGTAGTTGTGGCATGCAGGCTCAGTAGTTGTGGCGCACAGGCTTCATTGCTCCGCGGCATGTGGGATCTTCCTGGACCAGGGCTTGAACCCATGTCCCCTGAATTGGCAGGCAGATTCTTAACTGCTGAGCCACCAGGGAAGTCCCTCTTTCTCTTAAAGACTGGTGTTTTCTACAGTTGCATCCTTGCTCCCTACTTTTTAATTTACAGTCTCCTTAGTGAGCTATTTGTCTGTATAATTTTTACCATTACAACTCTATAATTAAGAGGTCTAAGTCATATCTCCAACCTTAATCATGCTTTTGAGTTTCACATTCAAACATCAAGCTTTGCACAAGACATAGCTACCTGTATGTTTCAAGGTATCTCAGCACAATATGACCAGAGCTCTGTCCTCTTGGTCCCTCCCTCTCCTAATTTCATCTTTTTTTTTTTTTTTTTGGCTGTGCCACACTGCTTGCGGGCTTGTAGGATCTCAGTTCCCTGACCAGGGATTGAACTCCGGGCCATGGCAGTGAAAGCCCGGAATCCTAACCACTAGGCCACAAGGGAATTCTCCTAATTTCATCTTTCACTATTTCTGATCTCAGTTAATGGTATCCACCCTGATATCCTGGTCAAAAACTTGGGAGACAACCTAGATTCCTCCTTCTCCTTCATCCTCTACACATGATCAATGATCAAGTTTGGCAATGTCTACCTTCTAAGTTGGTCTTAGAGCCCGTCTCTTCCCTGAAACATAACTAATGGTATCCTAGGACAAGCCCTCATCATTTCTGTCTTGGGCTAGACCAACAACTTCCTAACTAATCTTCATATCTCAGCCTTGTGTCCTTGAAATACATTCTGCACTCTGCAGCCAGAGTGATTTCTAAAATTCAAGTCTGCTAGCCTAAGATACTTATCATGGCATTAAGGGTCCACCATAACTTGGCATCTTTGAAAACTTTTCAGCTTCTTCTCTCACCCTTTGAGCCTTGCAATTTATTCTCTAATAAATCCCAAGTTGCTTATATTCACACACCAGACTCTTACCTATCTCCAAAGTTTTGCTCATACTGCTACCTCTGCCTGAAATGAGCTCTCCCCATCGCTCCCTAGTCCTCTCTCACTTACAAACTCTTGGCATCCCTAAAGACTCAGCTTGGGTGGCATCTTTACCAGGAAATCTTCCTTGAGCCCTCCTCTCTGCTTTGATGGCTGCCTGTGATAACTCTTTCATGTTACTTTCTTCCTTGCGCTGAAACAATCTCTTCACATGCCTGTGCATCCACTGAACTGAGACTTATTTGTAGGCAGGGACAATGCCTTTTTGTTTGGTTTTTAACTTTCTCTTATTTATCTTTGAATTCTCAGCACCTGCTTTATCCCTGCACAATAGTTGTTTTATTGAACTCATAGAGACAGGACTGGGTGACTGTATTAAGATACAGCAGTGGTATTGTTGTGAGAACTCTAGACACGGAATCAGATGCTCTGTTTTCAAGCCCCTCTTCTTTTATTTACCAGCTCTATGCCACTTTGAAAAAGTCACTTTTCATATTTCTGAATTTGGTTTTCCTATCCATAAAATGAGAATAATAACAGCTACCACATAGTTTATTGAGTGAAAGTGCCTGATAGCCCAACAGTATTCTATTTTAGAAAAAGACAGGAGGCTGAGTCTAGTTGAGTGACAGTGGAGGAACTGAAAATGGGTAGCAGAGTGGTGAAGGGAGCTGAGAGAGGATCTAAAGAAAGCACTTGGTACTGATTTAATGAGAATTAGGAAGTAGAGAGGGGCCTTGCTAAGGGAGGTTACAAAGTCAAAGAAGAGTCCTGGGCTTTTGGAAGTGGAAGTGAACAAAAGCAAGTAGGATAGGAAAGGACAGAGTGAAGAACTGAGTACGTGTTAATGACCATGGAGCCAGAAGAGGAGGAGAGGCATTATGAGGGACAAGAAGCAGTTGTGGAGATGGGAGAAATTTACCTTGCCTTGGTCAACCATGGAACTAAGAGATAGGTTGAGGAGACATGTGGTAAGAAATCTGTAACTCTATTCAACCCCAAGCAAAGAAAGAATTGTTCCATAGTTACCAGTACAGACTGAGAGTAGAGGTTCAGGTGTAGAGAGAAAGACACAGGATGGACTCTACCATTGCCAGGGAAAATTCAAGGGACAGAGGACATTAAGTTAGAGATGGCTGAAAAAGGAAGACCTGAAAGGGGGAGCAAGGAAGAAGATACTAAAAGCTAGTTTGTAGATAACATATTCAAGGATGAAGAACCAAGCGAATTTGGGGAAATGAAAATTTGGAAGAAAGTCCCCAGGGACGGTCTGAAGACTAAAGTAGATCATGTCTGAAAAATGAAGTAAAAAGAACGCTGATTTTGGACTCAGACATACCTGAGTTTCTTGCTCTGCTCCCTACTCACTTTTTAAATTTGGGGTAAACGAATTGACTTTTCTAAACCTGTTTCATTTAAGATTTATAAAATGGGAGTGAAGTCACATACCTCGAAATCTTGCAAGATTTGTGTGATAAGGTGTGAACATGGCTGGCAGTGTCTGGTATGTGGTAAACACCCAACAAATGTTAGAATCTGATCATCTCCCTTTCCCTCCTGTCCTGTGTCTGCCTGCTCTGGGGTCCTCGTTTTCTTTGGCCTCTGGCTTCCTGCACTGCAGCTGGATGTCATGCTGGTGAGTTCACCATTCTCTCCCCCACACCCCTTCTTCAAACCACAGTCCGTTCACTGACAGCACCTGGAAGCCAGCGAATCAAGTCAGCTGTATCCCTCCGAGAGATCCATATGGGTCTCTTGGAAAAAATGTTTTGATGTCTTCCTATTCCACTCTAAAAATTATAATTCCCTGAGGAGAGGGAGGAACTCTTGTGGAAAGCAATTTCCTGTCCTCTTTCTCCAGTCACAGCATCATTTTCTGGTTCTTCTCGGACCATGCCCTCCTCAGCTGCCAGTTTTGAGGCGCTCCAGTGCGAAGGACCTGTCAGCACCCAGGAGGGCAGCTGCCACACTGAGGATGACTTGACGGACCCAAGGGAAGTCGACTTCCAGGTCAAGGGCTACACTTTCAGTGAACCCTTCCATCTGATTGTGTCCTATGGTGAGGTCCCAGGAAGGACTGACCAGTGCAGGCCAGGTCTTTCTCCCATTTCCCAAAGTTCTCCTTTCAGCCCCACAGCCCACTCAGGAAGGTGCCCCCTGAAACTGGCCAGGGGATGAGATATCATCTACCCCATCTTCAGCCCAAGAAGCCAGGGTGCCCTCTGTGCTAGGCCCTAGAGAAGTTGTTCCATATTCCCAACCAGTGGTGAAAATTACCTGGCCCCTCAGAGAAAGATTAGAGTGGTCTGTTGTGGGCAGCACTGAGGGAGCTCCCAAGGAAGGCAGTGGGTCACACTCAGCTCTTGCTTTGGACCGCAGACTGGCTGATCCTCCAAAGTCCAGCCTGGCCTATATTTGAGGGAGACCCTCTGGTCCTGCGCTGCCAGGCCTGGCAAGACTGGCCACTGACCCAGGTCACCTTTTACCAAGATGGCTCAGCCCTGGGTCCCCCTGGACCTAACAAGGAATTCTCCATCGCCGTGGCGCAAAAGGCAGACAGCGGGCACTACCACTGCAGTGCTATCTTCAGGAGCCCTGGTCCTGGGAGCCCAGAAACGGCATCTCCTGTGGCTATCACAGTTCAAGGTAAGAGCTAGAGGCAGTGTCACTGTGGCAGAGGCAGGTGGGGAGAGACAGAGGGACCAGAAATGTCTTTCACTGGAGACAGTAAGGTCACTGAAGGGTTAAGGAGTAGGTTGCTGACAAATGTCCAAGTTGGGCTTCAAAAGGGACAGCATCTTAGCATTGCCTTTTCAAGTCATTTAGCCCAGCTCCAAGTTCAGCATGTTTCCTGCTGCTTTGTCCTACAGCTCTATGCTTCCCAATGTTCACTGACTAGGCATCTGGATTACGGTCAGATTTGCCCATCTCTAGATCTTTTCTAGTCCTGTCTATTGAAGAGAGATAGGACTTGAAAGTTTCAAATGGAACTTTTCTAAGAGAACTCCTTCCTGATAGAAATAGGGGAAGGAAAGTGTGACTGGGAGTCTTTGCCTGTCATGGGTCCACCTGAATGTAGGAAGGCTGAGCTCTTCTTCCTCACCTATCTCTCCCCCAGAACTGTTTCGAGCCCCAGTTCTCAGAGCCACACCTTCAGCTGAGCCCCAAGAGGGAAGCCCGGTAACCCTGAGCTGTCAGACAAAGCTGCCCCTGCAGAGGTCAGCTGCCCACCTCCTCTTCTCCTTCTACAAGGACAGCAGGACAGTGCGTAGCAGGGGTCCTTCCTCAGAATTCCAGATCCCCACTGCTTCAGAGGCACACTCTGGGTCCTACTGGTGTGAAGCAACCACTGAGGACAACCAAGTTTGGAAACAGAGCCCCAAGCTGGAGATCAGAGTGCAGGGTGAGTTAGTGTGTATATGTCTGGTGTGTGTGAAAAGGCAGGGGTGGGGGGGGATAGGACAATTGGGTTTTTGAGCTAAGGTTCAGTGTAAGCAGGTTAAGAAAGGACACATGGGAGGCAGGAACCATAAGCCAGAGTCGCTAGTGATGGAAGAAAGCACAAATAGGAAACTTCTCCCTCAGACTGTGGTATATACCTCATCAAACGAAGACCTGAGCCAACTCCACAGCTGCTTCCCCGTAGACTTTACACTCCCTACGTGACCTCTGGGCATTTGTAGGAATATGGTATCTACTGTGAGGACGAAGTAGTCTGGAGTTCCTATTCAATTCTGGGAGTCCCCATTAAGAAGGCTGCATTTGACCTGAAATATACCCAGAGGAGGTGTCCAGGGTAGTGAGGCCGCTTGAGTCATGTCAGAAGGAAAATAATGGGAGGAATGGGAGATGCTCATTCTGAAGAGGAGGTGACTCGAGGAGCCAGCAGAGGTGTCCTCAAAACACTGAAGGCTGGCACAAGGGTAAGGAATTACACTAATGGCATATACAATAAGAGGTTGACCTAGGGCCAGTTACCACATGCATGTTGTAAGGAATTAGACTGAAAGGGGAAGAACTGGCTAATATCCATAGTCCTCTAATGATGAGGCTTCATTGTGCAAGATTTTCAAGCAGAAGTAACTATGCTTCACATTCAAATTTGGACGAGAGTCCTCAAGATTTTGTTGCCATTGGGCCCCACAGCTATTTTCAGAGAATAAGAAAGACTGACCAGGAATATGAGGGTAGGGCCAGAGTCAGACTTCACTCTTGTCTGTGTCTCCTATCCCATAATCCAGGTCCCTCCAGCTCTGCTGCACCCCCCACCTTGAATCCAGCTCCTCAGAAATCAGCTACTCCAGAAACTACTTCTAAGGAGCCCCCTGGGCCTCTGCCTCCACTGCCCACCCCTTCTTCTAAGGATCTGGGCTCCTCTTCTCCTCTGCACTTCCCAGATCCCCATCTGCATCACCAGATGCGTGTTCTCCTCAAACAAATGCAGGATATGAGGGTCATCCTTGGTCACCTGGTCATGGAGCTGAGAGACTTGTCTGGCCACCTGAAGCTTCAGGCCACAAAGGGTCCTGCCAAATATTAGTAAATAATTCACCTGCCGTGTTGCTCAACTACCCCCAATAAATCCAACTCTTTCTAGTTGTCCTCTTTCTGTTCCATACTTAAGCATAAGTAGTTTTACAAGTTGCCCAGTGTTTCGCTAGAGTAACAGGGATGGGTGAGTATAAATAAACGTGTACAAAGTGGTAATTAGAGTTTAGCTATAATTGTATATTCTCCCTGAACATGACAACATATTCCTGTTCTATCTAGGCCAGGAGTTGCCTTCTGTTGCCCAGACCAGAATCTGGTGATTGAAAGAGAAGCAATGAGATGATAGATTTAATGCAGCAATCTCAACCAAGGGCAATCCCTCCCCATCCTAGGGGACATTTGGCAATGTCTGGAGAAATTTTTGATTGTTACATTGCGGGGAGGGTGTGCTACTGGTGTCTAGTGAGTAGAAGCTGGGGATGCTGCTAAACATCCTATAATACACAGAACAGCCTTCCACAACAAAGGATTATCTGGTCCAAAATGTCAATAGTGCTGAGGTTGGGAAACCCCAGCCTAACGGAGGTGTTGGACTCTGGGATGGACCTTTGCTTCTTCTACTTATTCTCTCGTCCTAGCCTTGTTCAGCAAATATTAATTACGTGCCGGTATTTTGTTGTCCTCTGCTACATACCCAAGTTGATGCTATGTTAAGTATACCCATAAGACAGTGTCCCTGTCTATAGAAAGTTTACAATTTGGGATGGAGGGGCAGTAATACTCCTACCCATTAAACAATTAAAGCAGGGCATATAAAAATTTCCCATAGGATCCTAGTGGACTCAGAAACATGTGATTGAGTAGAACAATGCCAGAGCAGCAATTATTTGTTTTAATCCATGTCTGAAATATTTTTCTTTAAAGACATACATAAATCTATTTTGGTACCATAGTAATACTTTATTTTCTATGCTTGGACTGCCACTGTATATTCTCAGCCAATGAGAGCTAGCCTGCCAGATTCTACAGGAACCTTTGGTCAGTGAGTTACCACACCATTTCATGACCTCAGCCAAAGAGCTTTCTACCACGGTTCTCCTAAATCACGTGGTATGAGATTATCCAGTGTACTTTTTCTTTGTGCCATTTATTCTGTGTGTAGTTGGGACCCACAGTGATTTACAAAATACGTACCCGTGATCGGTCCAGACATGCCACAAAGAAATAAAGGAATAGAATCATGCTGGATGTTAGAATCTGAGTTTTATGGTGGTTCCTAGCTCCCTCTAAAATGCCAGTTTTATGGTGGCTCCTAACACCTTCAAGTGGAAAGATGAGAAAGAAACTGGAAATTGGTAAAAGTCCACAAATATCACTGCAGCGTGAGAGGATCGATTAACAACTGTATGAATGGAAGTTGTAAGAAATGATGACCAGAGATACGTCATTTGGTGGATGACCAAAGTGGAAGCTTAACTGCCAATGGACTATGTTGGATCTCCAAAGATACTATGTTATAACCATTCTACATGGAATTGATTTCAGCTAATGGTACCATGTTCATGAATGCATCCTGCAAGCTCATGCTAAATAAGGAAGTCATGTCCAGACAATAAAAGCTAACCGAGATCAAGAAAGGAAGAAGTGGGTGCAGCTGGCTAAGTGTCTCACTTCTGTACCCGTCATCCATGTGTCTGTGTGGACCTCTATCGTCACACTGCATTTTAATTTTTTACTATCTTATTTCTGTTCACTAGAGGGTGAACACTTTGAGAGCTCCTTGAGCTCTCTGATCTACATTGACTCATTGGTGTCTAGTTTAATGAGGCATATTTAAACTCTCTGTAAATGTTGTTTCATTGAATTGAATTGGGTCAGCATAATAAGGGAAGGCATCCTGAAGAAGATGGGAATTAAGCTGAACCTTAAAGGATGAGTGGTATGTCTGGCATCGGCAAAATCTCCAGATTCTCCCCAGGGGGCCCAGATTAGGTCAGGAGCTTGGAAGCCTCAGGGAGAGAATCTGTTATCATCAGGGATGAGGAAGGCAAGAACATAACTGAAAGAATGAAGAGAGAGAGACAGAGAGGCAGAGAGAGAGAGCTTTTATCTGTCTCTACGTGTCCTGGGGAAGCTGGAGAGGGGGTGGGAAAGAGGAATTGTTATACTAGATTGGGTTTATGGCCTGTGCAGTTTAGGATTCTGTAACCCACAGAGGTCCTAATGCAGCTACGCTGGATGTTATCTCTGAAATAAACATTAGATACAAAGCACATCTATTGTCTTGTAAAGGCCAATACTTGCATACCCTATAACCCAGAATTCCATGCCTGGATATATATGCCGAGTACATGTACACCAGAAGACAAGTACAATAATGTTCATAATAGCACTATTTGTAAAATCAAAACTTTGGAGTCAATTCAGTTGTCCAATGAAAAAATGGATAAGTTGTGCTAGCTTCACAGAACAGAATACTATACAACAGTAGAATAAATGAACCATAGCTACAATGCAGCAACATAAAAGAATATCAGGAATATTAACATTCAGTGAAAAAAGCAAGTCCCAGAAGATACCATATGGTGTGATGCCCTTTATACAAAGGAATATATTGCTTAACCATTCACTCATACATATGATAAACCTTTTTAAAAAGGCACAAAAATGGAAACACCAAGGTCAGGATAGTAGTTACCTCCGAGGGGCTAATGGGAGAAACCATCGGGGAGGAGCACACAAGTAGATATAATTATTAATTTTTTTTAATTTTAAAAATGTATTTTATTTATTTATTTTTGGCTGCATTGGGTTTTCGTTGCTGCGCGTGGGCTTCTTAAGTTGCGGCGAGCAGGAGGCTACTCTTCATTGCAGTGCACGGGCTTCTCTTGTTGTGGAGCATGGGCTTTAGGCGTGTGGGCTGCAGTAGTTTTGGTATGTGGGCTCTAGAGCGCAGGCTCAGAGCGTAGTTGTGGCGCACGGGCTTAGTTGCTCTGTGGCATGTGAGATCTTCCCGGACCAGTGCTCGAACCCGTGTTCCCTGTATTGTCAGGCGGATTCTTAACCACTGCCCCACCAGGGAAGCCCTAAATTATTAATTTTTAAAATCTTCTCAGAGTAGGAATTTAGGCCTCCTTAAATATATATATATATATATATATATATATTTCTCTAAATCATCTTCAAATTCCTTTTTGTTTTCTGCCATTGTCTTTTCTTAGCAGTAATAAGAAGCCAAGTTTATTACCTACAGTATGAAGTAGTTCTTTCCTTTACTGATCCCCAAGTAACCCTAACTTACTAAAGATTGCCCCCAGTATACCCTTACTATTTTTGGATTTGGTGAACACTTTTTTGTTAACCTTAAAGACATGACTGTAGATGTTTCACACATTTTCCCAGCCAGACAAGACAGCTAATTTTTGTCAGTACAGAAGCACCTTCATTTAATTTGACATTTATGTGCAAAGTACTGTGCAAGGTTCTATAAGAAAAAAAGAAGACAAATTTAACATGATCTCTGCTTTCCAAGGAGAGTTCAATGGAAGCTTATGAAGAAGACCCCGCCTCATAGATTTGTAGTTGCATTTTAAGAGCCTTTTCATATAATTGTAGATATTCTTCTTTGATGCTTCCTGAAAACTCGACAAGGGGTAGTTTCTTAAACAGGAGTTGCATTATGGAATCTGAAACCATAGCAACAAGTGTTTCTTACTCTGTTACATTAAAATTCATTGGTCCTTCTTGTACTTTAAACAGATCTTTCACCCATGCATTGGTCGGTTGAAAATATTTGTTCACAAAGTTATACAGATCTTTCAAACGTTGATACCATCTCACTATATACAATATTTTAAAAATCGAATGTAATATCACCACCAATATCTTCAGAAAAGTCTTTACTTACTGGGAAGCTGTCAAGATCACGATCATGAATACAAATGTTCCCAAAATTCTAATTTTCATTTGAAAGCTTGAGTTTCATCATTGGCAATAATTACTGTCAGATGTTTTCCTTGAAGTGACAGACTCACTTTGTTCACTCTTGAGAAAATGTCTGAGAAATACCCAAGTCTGAATGACCATAGTTTTTTAGTCATTCTTTCAATTAAAAATGGTATTCCGAGAAAAAGAGTAGCTTGTTCTGGTTCAGCTCAGAACTCAATTGTGTAACAGCTTTCAATGAAGACAGCCTTTGTACTTCAGTACAGAAGTGCATACTTCCTATTTCATCACACAGAATATTAAAAATATGTATATTTTGAGCTCAAAATTTAATAAAATTAATTTTTTAAATTATTTCATCAAGGTTTTGTTTTGGTTTTGATTTCTTACTGTGAGTGCATAACATAACGGTGAAACATACAGTTTGGTGCCACTGCCTTAAATTGTGCTTTGGAGTTAGCAGTTTTATCCCCTGTTGCTTTATGCCATCAATGCAAGTGTCAACCTAGGGAAAAGGCAAATAACCTCTTAGTATTATTATAAACATAGTTTTGACTTTGCAGGCCCCTTAAAGGGTCATTAGAGCCCCCACGTATCTACAGACCAAAGTGAGAATTATTGAACTAGATCATTCTTAAAGCCCAGCCTGACACTACTCTCAGAGATCCCAATATTTATGCATTTCTGAAGAGAAGAACCCATTTACTTTTCTATTCCTAAGTCAGTTCTCCAGGTATAATAAAATAATTTTGACCTCAACTTCAGGTCAGTCATTTTAATGCTTTTAATTGGATGCTTTTTAAAAGTCTAAGTTGGTTATATTACATGTTTCTTTATTCCTTTGTACATCTATGAGAAGAAGCGACAGCTTCTGCACAGCAATGGAAATAATCAAGAGTGAAATGGGAGAAAATATTTGCAAACCCTGTATCTGATAAGGGGTTAACATCCAAAATATATAAGAAACTCAAACAACTTAATAGCAAAAAAAACCAAAAAATGGATTAAAAAATGGGCAAAGAATCTGAATAGACATTTCTCAAAAAATGACATACAGATTGCCAATGGGTATATATTATAAAAAGGTGCTCTATGTCTATGTCACTAATCATCAGGGAAATGCAAATTAAAACCACAATAGGATATCACCCCACACCTGTCAAAATGGCTGTTATCAAAAATACAAAAGATAGCAAGTGTTGGCAAGGCTGTGGAGAAAACGGAACACTTGTGCACTGTTGGTGGGAATGCAAATTGGTGCAGCCACTATGGAAAACAGTATGGAGATTACTCAAAAAATTAAAAATAGGACTGCCTAATGAACAGTAATCCCACTTCTGGATATATATCTAAAGGATGTGAAGTCAGTATCTCAAAGAGACATCTGCATTCCCATGTTCATTGCAGCATTATTTACAACAGCCAAGATGTGAACACAACCTAAATGTCAACAAATGAACGGATAAAGAAAATGTGATATATGTGTATATATACTATATTATATACACTATATATTGTATGTATTTTATATATATATATATTATACACACAATGGAATATTATTCAGCCATTAAAAAGAAGAAAATCCTGCCATTCACAACAATATGGATGAACTTGGAAGACATTATGCCAAGTGAAATAAGCCAGACACAGAAAGACAAATATTGCGTGATCTCATTTATGTGTGGGATCTGAAATAGCCAAACTTGTAGAAGCGAAGAGTAGAATGGTGGTTGTCAGGGGCTGGGGGAGACAGAGAGAGAGAAAGTTGAGTATGAGGAATTGGCTCACGAGATTATGGAGGCTGAGAAGTCCCATGATCTGCCGTCTGCAAACTGGAGACCTAGGAGAGGATAATTTAGTCTGAATCCAAAGGCCTGAGAACCAGGGGAGTCAATGATGTAAATCCCAGTTCAAGGGCCAGAGAAGATGAGGTGAGATGTCTCAGCTCAATCACCGAGGAAGGAAAAAAAAAAAAAAAAAAGAGGCAAATTCCTCTAAACCCTGGCTTTTGTTCTAAAAGAGAAAATAATATCTAAAACACAATACCATTTATGTAAATTAATAATACAAAATAGTTCTCAAGCGAAAGTATGTGCATGTATAAAGGATTGTAAACATTATATAGTGGGTGCTCATGTGGGGGAGAGAATGGTAATGAAGGTAAAAAATAATAATAAAACAAGGAGGAGAATTGAAAAGACTAGTGATGACAGTCTGCCGTGAGCATGAGAGACAGAGCAGATTTTAGAGTGAGGCAGATTTCTATTCAAATTCCAGTTCTATCACCACAGTTTCCACACATGTAAAATGCAGATAATAATAATCCTTCCTTAAAGGGCTCTCGTGGGGATTAAATAAAGTAACATCTGTGAAGCACTTGGCGTGGTGCAGGTGACATGCTCACGGCTGCAGCACTCACCTTAAGTAAGTTGGTGTCATCATTGACAGCAACAGCAGCAATATTCCATTATCATCACTGGGAACGTCTTGTTCCTCAGAATTCTTATCAGGTGACGGCATATCTTGTCCAGAAATTATGTCGTGATAGGCTTCAAACAATTGCTCAGGTAACAAATGATAACTGTTACATTTCTCTGCATAGTAAAGGCATGAAGAATTAGAAATTCTGCAGGGAAAAGTCCTGAAGGGAGAAAAAAGATCCAATTTGGGAAAAATTCAGAAGAAAGCCTAGAATAAAGAAGTGTGGGTGGGACATTCTTCAAGCCAAAATTTGAGCACTGTGTGACATGAACCCTATGGGTGATTGTAGAGATTTGCAGGGAAGATCGGACGCCTCACGAATTTTGAGTGCAATCAAGTTTCTTATGGAGGGACTTCCCTGGTGGTCCAGTGGTTAAGACTCTGTGCTCCCAATGCTGAGGGCCCGGGTTGATCCCTGGTCAGGAAACTAGATCCCACGTGCTGCAACAAAAAAAGATCCTGAAAACTGCAACTAAAAAAAAAAAAAAAAGATCCTGCGTGCTGCAACTAAGACCCGGAGCAGCCAAATAAATATTAAAAAAAAAAAAAACCAAATCAACTGCCTAAATACATGAATCACCTCCAATGACTTTAAAAAAAAAAAAAAAGTTTCTTATGGAATCAGGTGAAGAGGCTGAGATCTGTCTTCTGAGTGATAAGAAGCCAAAACAGTGTCGGCTTGTGTAGACTAAGGGACAGCTGATGGGTGCGTTACATTCATATCATAGAGGTGGTGACCTGGTGCAGAGGTCAGACCTTGGGGGCAGGTTGTGAATGATGTGGGAAGGCCCACACAGGCCCTGGATGAGGCATCAGGCAGGAGGTGGGGAAGCTGGGGGCACTGCCTAGCCTGGGCCCTCCCAAAGCAAGCAGTTTATAATCTGTTCCTGGTATCTAGTTCTCTCCCTCCCCCACTCCTGAGCACCTTATCAATTACCTCCCTACTGTTCAGACCCATATGACTCTATCTCTCTTTTATCAACACATGCTCTCAAAACAGGATCCGAAGTGACCAGCTTAATTTAAAGGACCAATCACATTTCCCTAAGGGCTACCTGCATTTCAACAAGGACTAGCACATTAAGAGAAACTATGAGGGAATTCTCCGATGGAAGCTTTGGGCATTAGCAAGGAAGAGGGGAAGGGACTGTCTTTAAGAGAGTTGACAGGGCCTGATAATCGATGTCCTTCCTGCCAGAGCTCCAAGGGAAGGAGATGCCCCAGTATTAAACAGCCACGGGTGAGGACAGAAGACGGTCCAAGGAGACATACTATCAGGTTGGAAAATTCATTAAGTATTTACAGGAGAATTCAGGTTCCCCATTGCTCAGGGTATGATCACATGGCTTGGAAAGCACAAGCAGTAGAGTTGGGAGGACGGTTCTGAGAAGCTTCTAAGGGGCTGATGCAGTGACTTCTCTAACACAGGTAAGGACTATTAGAACTGGGGCATGGTTGGGGACAGACGAAAGGAAGGAAGGCACAAGTGAGTGGAGATGCTATAGGGTGAGAGCATTGGGATGGGTAGGAAAGAAGTGTTTTCTAATTTCTGAAGGTTTAAGGTTTCAGGAAGGCAGAAAGGGGAAACATAACATTTCTATTCTTGACTGTGACACTGACAGAGAAGGTGGTTGGTGAGTCATGCTTTTCTATTCACCCATGGGAGGATGTGAAGCCTAGGTGCACGCAATCCAGTGTCAACCTCACTAGGCCTCACACCAATGTCTGTCACCAGGAAGTGAGCAGAATAAACATCCTGGGTGGATCTCAAGGACATGAAGATGTCTTTCTCAATTGAGGCTTATGGAGCCTGCTGGAGGATGGGGAGGATGTGGAATGGGAGTGGGATGTTTTTGGGAGCCTGAAGGTGGCAGGGTCACCTTCAGGGTGCCAGAATCTGGGGTTCTGTGTGGCTTTCGTGGGCTGAAAAGGGCACAGACTCTGCTCAGCAGGCCTTCTCTACAGGAGCTGGGGCTGGCCTGAGATGTGAGGTGGCTTCAGGGGGTGTAGGTGGGACAATGTTTGGTGCTTGGGACACCTGAGAGTTGACACGTATCCAGCCTGTCTCCTGCTCTCTCCAGTCCACCGTCTTCAGGAATTAGAAATGGGTGGGAGAAGCAGCAGTGTCTCCGAGTACTCAGTGGTCAGTACTGGCCATCTTCTCTCTCTCTCTTCCCGCATCCCATGCCAGTGCATCCCCATTGGTCTGCAGCTGCTGCTGGCAGATCCATCATGTGGGAACTGACAGCCCTCCTGCTCCTGGGTGAGTCCTCAATGAGGTAACAGCGGCATAAGGACTTTGGGTGTGGGGAAGAGTGGGGGCCAGAGTATTTCTGTGTGTGTGTGTGTGTGTGTGTGTGTGTGTGTGTGTGTGTGTGTTGCGGGAATATTCAATCCTCGATTCGTTATCTATCTTCGGAGAGGAAAAGAGGAAGGGGCTTTCTGAGAGCTGAGAGAAATAAAGGCAGAAGAAAAACAGGTCTTGAGACTTGTTGAATCCTTCCTATGGTCAAGAGAGTCCCTTTCTTTTCTCTCATCTCCAACATTCTCCTTCTTCTTGCTTCTTTATTTCTTGTTTTGCAGTTCCAAGCAGTGGGCAAGCTGGTGAGTCTTACACATCCCTCATCCAGATTTTCTACAACTTCCACCCCAACCATCCTAAGTGACCTGCTTGGGTACTCCCCACTTCTTAGCTGTTCTGGGGTAGTGACTCTTCTCATGGCTCCTCAATCCCAGTGACTCAGTTTGCCTGTAGGCACTGGCACTTAGAAATGGTCCTGACCAGGAGACTAGTTTGTAGCCCAATGTGGTCTCTCCTCTCACAGGGATGGGTCCCGGAAGCTAGCGTTTTCTGAGATTTCCCAACATCAGACCTCATCTTTGGGCACCTCACCTTGATTCTCTTTTTCACATTGTCCCCTCCCATACCCCACCCTCCCAGCTACTCTGGAGAAGCCCATATTGTCTCTACACCCACCCTGGACCACAATCTTCAAGGGGGAAAGGGTAACCTTGCGGTGTGATGGGTACCACCCTCTGCTCCTGGAGCTCCGACCCATCAGCACTCTCTGGTATTTGGGCCACCTACTCCTGCCCTCTCACAAGAAGAGCATCGAGGTGCAGACACCAGGGGTGTATCGATGCCAGACACGGGGAGCACCTGTCAGTGACCCCATCCACCTCTCTGTATCCAATGGTGAGTGTTTGAGCATGGGGGAGGGGTAGCACACATGTCCTCTGGTAGTGATGGCCCTCCTGTGGGGGAGGACACTGGGCCACTCCCATTGGGGCAGTAAGGAGAGGGTTATATTGAGTCTATGGGGGCAGGCAGGGACCTGCTTGGCACTATGTGAGAGATGCAGTAAGCCTTGTGTGGCCCCAAAGGTCCCCTTACCATCCTGCCACAATGGACACTAAATAAACATTTCTGTTCATTTAGTAGCTCAGAAGAGAAGAGGCTCCAAGGACCTGGTATACTGAATAGAGAACTTCTGAGGAGGGGGGTTGGGTAGGGAGAGAAAGGGCAAAGCAAAGCAGGAAAAGTGAGGGTCCCTGGGCAGGCTGCGTGCAGCTGGGGGAATTACTCCTGCTTGAACAGTGTGATGCTTCTCTGTGCCTCCCATCACTAAAATACGGCCAATGATAGCATGTATTTCTTTGGTTGTTGCGAAGATTAAAAATGAATTGATAGGTTTTCAAAGAAAAAAGCAGATGAAGAAAGCACTTCAGCAAAATTTTATTATAGACACGTACACATGCGTACAGAAGAGTCAATTAAGAAACTAATTCCCTGGGGGATAAAGGATTTCCAAACAGGATAAGAGAAATAACAGTAATCTGTTCATTAGGGCACAGGATTGGCTACCTTGTTGGGAATATTATGTCATTTTAGCCTGGTAGGCTATATTTTGTATTCAGAATTTAAAGACCATCACTCAGTGTTCAGATTAGCACTTATACTTCACATCCATACTCTGTGGTTTCTTGTTGGGAAATTGATAGCGAGTACAGATAAGATATTGAATATGATAGACGGTAGTCACTGCTTGCAGAACTGCGAGTAGCACAGAGATTGTGGCTATCACTTGCGGAATTCTTTCTCGATGGAAAACACCTAAAGTGGCATCTAGCAGACACCAGGGCTATGTTAAGTGTTGGCTATGGTGATGATGGTGATCAGGTACATAAGGGTGCTGGGGGAGGTGTCTAAGTCTGGGGGTGGGGTCGGGTAAGTTTTCTCAAGGAGACAGGATCTAAGCCCAGGTCTGCAGGATAAGCAGGCCTCAACTACAGCAGGTGAAGGGGTCTTCTTGGCAGGTACAAAGCCTCTGGGCTCAGAGCAGGGCCAGTTCTCCCAGCAGTCCAGGATGCACGGACTTAGTCTGCATTAGGAATGGAAGGTGGAGAGAGAAAAGGAGACATGGGGCAGGGGAGAATCCTGAGATGGTGCTGAAAAGGTAGGCAGAGGCCAGGTCAGGAAGGCCCTGATACCATCCTAAGGAGTTTAAACTGGATTCTGACGGGCATGACTCTTTGAGGCTGGAACCAAGTCTCAGGCATCTTTGTCTTCTTAGTACCTAATAAAAGGCTGGTCTTCCCCTTTCCTTCCCACTCACCTTCTGATGCTTCTTGTTCTGAGGCTCCTGGGGTGCCCAGTAAGGGGGGAGGGAGTTGGTGAGGAGAAAGGGGGAGGACGGGGGAGCAGGGAGGCGGAGAAGTATGGCAGACCCAGGCTGGACTTTCTCTTGGAGTCTGTCTGTGCTGACTGTCGTAGACTGGCTGATCCTGCAAGTGCCCTATGCTGCGGTGTTCGAGGGCGAGCCGCTGGTCATGCGCTGCCGCGGTTGGTACGACAAGGTCGTCTACAAACTTCACTACTACCACGACGGCCAACCCGTGCGCTACTTCCACTCCAGCGCCAACTACACGGTGCCCCAGGCGCGCGCCAGCGATAGCGGGCGCTACCAGTGCTCCGGCACCATGCGCATCCCGGTGGAGAGCGCGCCCATGTTCTCCGCCAAGGTGGCCGTGACCGTGCAAGGTGGGGGAGACTCGGGGCCGCGGAGGGAGGCAAACGAGCCCTGGGAAATTCTGGGACAGAAACCAGGCGGGGAAAGGAGGCGCGGAGGTTACAGTAGCTGGCACATGGTGGATTTCTCTGCGGGTCCAAGTACACGTTCTCCTCTCTTCCTCCTCAGTGAAGTCGCCCTTAATCTGTAGCCTGCGTGGCGGCAGGTGTCCCTTCTCCCCGGTACACATCCAGCTTCTTACTCCGGGTTGAGACCCCCATATTGGGGGCAGCTCTCTCCGCAGCCCCAGCCAGAAAGACAGCGGCAGTAGATGGGATCACTGTGGGGCTGGGGCGAGGGAACTGCTCCTGAGCGTCTTGCGAAGCAGGCGCAGCGACCCCCTTCTAGGCTGGAGAAACCGAGCTGGGTGTCAGTCGGGAGGTGACACGAAGCGTCATACCTAGTCCCGCCTCCTTTCAAGCTCTCCCCTCCCTCGTGGACTCGTTCCCCACATTTCAAAAGACTTCCCTCCCTCCACGTGTACACACAGCCTCCTCCCTGGTCGGCAACGGGCCCTTGTGGGAAACCGGGAGAGGGGTCGTGGGACCGTGGACCAGCGGTACCTGGTTCCCTGGGACCCTTGCGCCGGCCTAAAGTGCATCCTTAGCCACTGGGCCTCCTCTCCGCAGAGCTGTTCCAGGCGCCGGTGCTGAGGGTGATGGGCCAGGTGGAGGCTCGCGGCGCGGCCCTCGGCGGAGTGGTCTTGCGGTGCGAGACGCTCCTGCACCCTCAGAAGCGCGACACGCCGCTGCAGTTCGCCTTCTACAAGTACAGTCGCGCCGTGCGTCGCTTCGACTGGGGCGCCGAGTACACCGTCCCCGAGCCCGAGGTCGAGGAGCTGGAATCGCACTGGTGCGAGGTTGCTACCGCCAGCCGCAGCGTCCGGAAACGCAGCCCTTGGCTGCAGCTTCCGGGGCGGGGTGAGTGACTGTCCTTCGGGAAGCCCACCCGGGCGGGTAGCCCTGCATGCGCCCCTCTGGAATGCCTGTCTCTCCGGCCCCCCTCTTCTCCCCGCGCTTCCATCTCCATCCCCCATCTCCGCCCGCCTCCCCCTTCCTTCCCTCCTCTCCACCTCTGTTCCCACCCTCCTCACTCCCCTTACTCTCTTCCCCGGCCCGGCGCTTCTCTCCCACCCCCACCACCCCCATCCCTTGCCCCCTCCTTACCCCGCAGCCCTTGCGAGAAGGATTTCAGCCGTGCGGCTCTCTGTGTGTTGCGTTCACAGGTTCTCCCTTGGACGTGGCGTCCACCACCGTCCCGGTCCCACAGGCTGCGGCTTTGGCGCCCGGTAACAAGCCGCTTTCCTTCAGAAAGCCCCCGCTGTCCGTATCGGTCCCGTCGGTCACCTCCGTCCCTAACACCACCTCAGCCGGGCTGCTGTTCCCCGCGGGCGGAGCCCCCACTGCTGGGCCACCGGCCTGCGCTCCGCTGACCCCCTTGGAACAAACCACTGGAGCCCTAAAACCCGACATGGACCTTCTGCTCCGAGAAATGCAGCTGCTCAAAGGCCTTCTCAGCCGGGTGGTCCTGGAATTAAAGGAGCCACAGGCCTTCCCAGAGCACAGGGACACACTCGAGACCCCCGCTTCCCACTTTGCTGTGAGTCAGGGAACCCCTGAGACCACTGCTGTGGAGAGCTGAGGGAGGGGGTGGCTATTGACCCCTCTCCAGACGTATCCATCCCTGGTCTCTCCTGCTTCCCATCACGTGGAGACCCTACAAAGCCATCTCTGCATCCCTCTGTCTTACTGTGGCTTATAAAGTGTGGTGGCTGCCATGTCAGTCTAACACAGCACATCCTTGTAACCACAAGGCCTTCACTCTGATGGCTTTCTTCCCCTCACAGATTTCAGTAAGGAAGGAGAAACCTGTTATTTACTACTTTGAGGTATATGTTTGGAAGTTGAATTTAGTCATCCTTAGCTTTTCATATAAATCCACCCACCATGTATTTCAGCACAGGCAATTTTTTGGTACTTAAGGTTATTTGGTACTAAGCTCTTTGGAACATTTAAGGGTCAAGATGTAATTATTCATCATGACTTTAATGTTAAATTTTAAAAGACTTTCAGTTCTGTTTCTGATGCGTGTGTACCCTCAAAGTCCTGGGCTAGTTTTAGAGAGGGAAAGGGACTTGTGTGGGCCTCCATTCCAGGTTATAAGGGTCAGCATACTGTTAGACTCACCCAGATGCACCTCCTGCACCAATATAGCTAGATAGGCTGATGGGCTCTGGTGGCAGCAAGCAGGCCATGCTCACTTTAGCCTAACTAAACAAGTGGTACTATTACCATCAAGAAATCTCTTTGAAGAAAGATTAAGACAAATTCTCAAAATTGCTGAATTCTAGTTTTTAGTAGGTTCTTACCTCCCGCAGAGCCATTCCAACACTAACATACAATTCAATTTTTATAAGTCCCTCATCTGCCTACTAAAACTATTGGTTTTCTGCAAGTCTGGTGTGAATTATTCCCAGGAGGTTTATTTCTCATTGGGTCCTTACCCTTCATCAGTTAACGTTTACTGCTAAGGCTTAGAACTGATAACAACTCTACCCTCCCATCCTTCTACTTGATACATATTCAGCCACAATGCAATTTCCCATTTCTTTCTGAACAATTAACCAGAATAACATCAACATACTTCATCCTTTTCTTCTTAGTATTATCTTCACCGTGTTATAACTGCAAAGTCACTGAAATTATAAAAATGAGAGAGGCAGGTGGGTACACACATAAATTACAGTGCAATGTGATAAGTGCTCTATGAAACACTGGGAATTCAGAGGAGGAAACTGAATCTTGAAGGAAGAGCAAGATTTCACCAAGAAGAGATGTGAAAAGATTGAGGGGTAGGGCATGCAGGCTGAGGGTGCAAAGGCAAAGAGACATAAAAGACCGTGGTGTGTTTGTAGAGCTGCAAATAATTGAAAGTGGTTGGAGAATTATGTGTATTTATGCATGTGTGTGTGGGGGGTGTGTTTTAGGGAGAAGGTGGCAGGAGATGAACATGGGGAAGTAGGAAGGGATCAGAACATGAAAGTCTTGTTAAGAGGTTCTTTAACCTGTTGGATATTTGGGATGGATATTTGGAAGCATTCCTTATTGAGGGCATCAATAAGCCTTACTGGAGGAGAAGCTAATTTGAAATTACAAAAGAGCAATCAAATAAACTGATCTCAGTGGACACTTGCTTAACCCTGAGGAGTTATGTCCAGGCCCTATGATCCAGTACTGGGGTTCTGGTTTACAAGGGTCTTTGTGGTTCTGATTTCCACCTTTCTAATGCAGGCTTAGCTCACTTCTCAGAACTCTTCCCCCAGCAAGCCTTCCCTGGCTAACCCCACTCTACTCCCCTGAAGGAGGCCCCTGAAGTTTCTGCCATCCCTGATCTAGACAGGAAGTGACTAGCATTAGTATCAAGAGTCTAGGTAATCAAAGAATCGAGTCATTAAAAAAAATCAGTTGATACGTATAACTGATTCACTTTGCTGCACAGCAGAAATTAACACAACATTGTAAAGGAACTATACTCCAATAAAAATTAATTTAAAAACTCAGCTGATCATTTTTTAAAAGAGCAAAAGGGTGAAATAGCCATTCAAAAGGGAGTTTTATCTCTTCAGTATCTCCTCATTCACACCTTGTTAGCAGCTACAATATCTTCCTGTCCTGACACATACCTCCATTTAGGGTTAGGGATATGGGGAGTGGGGAAGATCAAGAACTTATGGGTTAGAATGATGTGTGTGTAGCGGGGGGGAAAGAGTGAGTTTTATGCCCTCTAGTCTCCACTGTCTTTAAGCTCCCCAGCTCTCGTTGATCTTCCCCTACAATACCTGTTAATGATCTCCCGGGAAGACCTGCACTAAGGAAATATCAAGAGATATCAGACAGGCAGCTTACTGGCCATGCTCCTCTGGGGAAAAAAAAAAGTCCTCATCCAGCTTCTGTTTAAGGTTCCAGCATGCATTTAGAGAAGCTTTGGGCTAGCCCAGGCTGCCTAAGGAGAATCTCAGGCTCATTCCCAAGCAGCAAGGGTAGCAACAAAATGCTGGAGAAGCCTGGGGAGGAAGCTGCTTCTCTCTGGTTCTCTGATCACTTCTGTGTCTCAGACTCAGACCTCGACCCTAAACCTGTGGGAGTCCATACCAGATACCAGGCAAGGAACCCAAATGTCCTCCACCAGAGAGCAGAAAGGGTTCTGGCAAGTTTCATTTGGATCTCAGCTTTACTCTCTCATTCTGCCCTCCCTGAGTCTAAGTTTCTTATCTGGACTTCACTCTATAGAAAGAAGGAACTCAACTCTTTGGGTTCTACACTTATGACTTTTTCCGTAAAAGAGTGAATCAAATCCTCTAGGTTAAAGTCCAAACTATCATGACATATAGAGCAGTCACACTGACCACTTGCTCTTTCCCCAGCACACCAGCCTCTTTCATGCCTCTGTGCCTTTACATATACTTTGGCCTCAACCTCTATTGGTGGGGAGTGGGCTGCACACGCCTTCTGAGCTCAAGGTCTCTCATTTGTCAAAAGAGGGAAATAAGAGTGCCCTTACAGAGAGAGACAGACAAATAAACAGACTTTTTCATTACTAGAGGTTTTCAGACATGGGATGCTAAAGTGCTTAAAAGCACAGAGGAGGAGCACTAAGCTCAGTGTGGAGGTTCACAAATCACTTACCAGAGAGATGACATTTGCCAGTCCCTAGTGATGAACTCTTAGATTATTTTTAAACTTTTGCTGTTTTAAATTATGTTGCAATTAATGTTTTGTTTTTTTTTTTTTTTTTTTTGCGGTACGCCGGCCTCTTACTGTCGTGGCCTCTCCCGTTGCGGAGCACAGGCTCCGGACGCGCAGGCTCAGCGGCCATGGCTCACGGGCCCAGCCACTCCGTGGCATGTGGGATCTTCCCGGACCGGGGCACGAACCCGTGTCCCCTGCATCGGCAGGCGGACTCCCAACCACTGCACCACCAGGGAAGCCCTACACCTATATCTTTATGCACATATTTGAACATATCTGTGGGATAAACTCCTAGACTTAAGTAGAGTTGCTGAATCAAAGAATGTGAGTCTTTTTTAATTTTAATAGATATTTTCAAATTATGCATGAGAGAGCTTGTTTCTTTTACCCTAGTCAGGATAGCACATCATCATACTTATATATTTCTTAATTAGACCCAGAGAACCTCCTGACTCTTTATCTGCTATTGAATTCCCCCAGTTGGATCTTGGTAACATTACTAACCTTGTGTCGTGCAACAGTCCAGCAGTACAGTCCTTCCAGAGTCAACATCCCTGTTTGTAATCCTAATCCATCCCTCTTCTGAATTCTTGTTAGCTGGTCTGCAGTTATCTAAGAGAAATGTACTCCTGTCTATATTTCCTTATTAAATGAGAACTTTCTGCCAAGTAGAGCTCTTATTCCCAGCCAGGTCATTCTGGTTCTTCACCAAATTCCCAACATGTACTACAGTTTGCTCATATTGGTTTAGTTTATTCCCCAGTCATTACACCTGCAAAGATAATTTGCTTCAATGCTTGACATTCTAATTATAACGAGGACTCATGTAACTGTACATCCCTGATTCAGCTAACATCTGAGGCTGAAGGATTGGTATAGTACATGTTAGCCTTTTTCAGTTCAAAGGAGCCAATCTCATTACAGTGATGTGGGAAATGACCTCTCCTCCATTTCTTTACAGTTAATATGCTCTTAATGTAGCATGTTAAGTTGTAATAGCCAAGCTAATTAGCTTTGGACCTAGAGGTGACAGAGTATAGAAATTAAGAACCCTGGCTAAGCAGTTAATAGACTTGGGTTCAAACATCACTTTTACTACTTACCAGCTGTATAGCCTTGGATGAGATACTCTGTCTCTGAAGTTGGGTTTCCTCATATGCAAGGCATAATTATAATAGTATCTTCCTTACAGGACTGCTAGAAGGATTAAAAGAGATTATGCAAGTAACATACTTGGTAGAAGCAGTAAATTGTTATTATGACTGTAATTCACTGAATCTAAAATGATGTTGACTGTAGGTTGCACCATTAAAGAGAATAGTAAGAAAGGAAATTGTGGCCAAGTAGCCACACGATGTCTTTTAGGCTTAATTAGAAACAGAAAATTAAAAAATCAGAATCACTCTAAATATTCATTAAAAAGGACACTATAAGGGAAATAAATTGGGTAAGGTATTCCTAAAACTATTTCACTTTCAGAGTCTGACTTTTCTGAAACACTTTTCCACTCAGATTTAGCCAAGTCTGTGTTTTCCCATTCTTGTAACATATTCTTTCCTGTGAAGAGCATTAGTAACGCAGCGTTTCTTAAAAGAAGCCATAACAAGAGTAACAGTTATCGTTGCCAGACTTTTAGGCTGGTTTTGCAATTATCTGGAGTTAGCTTACTTTTGACTTCTACTTCAGGAATGTTGCTAAACACGTCTGCTTCACCACTCACTCCACTTCTCCTCACAACCTATGAATATTTCACCTTCATCTCTAGAAACTTCTCCCAATATGCCCCCACCCATTCTTAAATTTTGATGCCAGTACTTTAATGTACATGCTTGCTTTAAGCAATGAAAACGATGACAAGACAACAATTATAAGATGCATCGTGGTTTCAAAGATGTTAAATGTAGTTTGAAAAAAATTATTTCTTAGAATTAATAAAATACAAAATGCACCCTAAAAGCAAATCTAGGAAAGCAAATTTTAAAATGTCTAGAAAAAAAGTTACATATGACACTACACGTAGCCTGAGACTAAAGGTGGACTTCTTTGGAGTTGAAGTGGAGGTTCTCAAAAATCTGAAAGGAATTTAAAGCCTGTTTAGTTCAACCAAGAAACCACTTATTGAGACCTTCTAAACTTCTCCTGCCATTGGCCACGCTTGACTTTTTGTGAGGATGTGGTCCTTATTACCTCCCAAGGACAGCCCACTCTATCTCAGGATAGCTCTGGTAATTAGAAAATTCTTCCTATGGATAATGAGCAAAATGATTTTGTTATAGCTTCTACTCACTGTGCCTCCTAGGGTTACACAGAGCAGATCTAATTCCTGGTCCTCTTGTCAGGGCTTTAGATGTTTAAAGACACTGCTTAGGTTATGCTTAGTTTTCTTAAAGATAAACTTTGTTTCAGTGTTTTCAACTGTTCCTAATTTTGAGTTCCTTCTCCATCCTGGCTTTTCTTTCTTTCTTTCTTTCTTTGCGGTACGCGGACCTCTCACTGTTGTGGCCTCTCCCGTTGCGGAGCACAGGCTCCAGACGCGCAGGCTCAGCGGCCATGGCTCACGGGCCCAGCCGCTCCGTGGCATGTGGGATCTTCCCGGACCGGGGCACGAACCCGTGTCCCCTGTATCGGCAGGCGGACTCTCAACCACTGCGCCACCAGGGAAGCCCTTTCTTTTTTTTTTAATATTCAGAGTTCTTTTTTTTCTTTTAAAATTTATTTATTTATTTATTTTTGGCTGCGTTGGGTCTTCGTTGCTGCACGGCTTTCTCTAGTTGTGGCGAGCGGGGGCTGCTCTTCGTTGCCGTGCGTGGGTGCGTGGGCTTCTCATTGCGGTGGCTTCTCTTGTTGTGGAACACGGGCTCTAGGCACACAGGCTCAGTAGTTGTGGCGCATGGGCTTAGTTGCTCCGCGGCATGTGGGATCTTCCAGGACCAGGGCTCGAACCCGTGTCCCATGCATTGGCTGGCGGATTCCCAACCACTGTGCCACGAGGAAGTCCCCATCCTAGCTTTTCTGAGCACATCTCCAATTGCTCTATATTAGGTTTAAAATGTGGGACCCACAACAGAATGCCGTTTCTCAGGTGGGTGTGTCCAGGGAGAATGAGGCAGGAAGGCAGAATTTTATTTTTATTTTTTACAATGAAGCAATTGCACTTGTGACAGGATGTCAAAAGTGATATTTCATGATACAAGAGAGATGGAATTCTGAAGCCGGATCATCATACCCAGAATTTACAAAGGAGATGGTTAAGGATCTGTTCCCTGACTTTTGGACTCTGAAATCACATCAAGGAGATAAAAAGGGGTCAGAGTATGGAGAAGAGAGAAGGTCTCTGAAGGCTTCTTTGCCATGTGAATAGTCGCCATCACAATTCTTACTCACAGTGGGGAGTTTTGGAAAGTTTACCCTCTCCTCATCAAGCCTAATAAGGGAGATGCCCATGAACTCACCCAGAGAGGTCTGAAATGTGTTGCCCACAGTAGGGAGACACAGGGAACTAGGCCTGACTCACACCTGAGAAAGCTAAGGTGAATTGTGGCTGTAGGATGGAAGAGCCTGTTTTGGGATTCTGCACTACAGAAGTTGCTGGGACAAAGACATGTGTGTATATATTTCCATAGTCCATGAAAGACAGAGAGCTGGCATGGGTTCCGGTACAATAAGGAGGGGTTGAATAAAGCACTAAAAAGCTGGAGATGAATCTAGATTCTTAGGGGTTGAGGAAAGAGGTGCAAGTGCTCTCCTGGAAGAAAGACGCATCTGCCTTGAATGGAAGAGAGCAGTCCCCCCAAACAAACACCTCTAAAAAGTCCACAGAAGTGCCCACGGGAGAAAGAATTGGACAGTCACCTCCAAGCTGAGACAGCAGGAAGCTGCCCAGCCAAAGAACTTTCTACTTCCTTATCTATCCTCCCTCCCTTCCCTATTCTCTGCTACTTTGGCCTAGGTGAGGTGAAAAGGAAACAGACACTGAGGAGAGAGGGAGGAGGTATGGAGAGAGAAAGAGAGAGAGAGAGAAACCAGTCAAGCTCCTTTCCCAAGTCAGGACCTAAACGGAGTAAGTAGGAGGACAAAGAGTTATCTCTGAATTAAGATTGAAGGTCTGGTTAACATCTAGGACTGGGCACTCTAATTCATAAATTGAAACTAGGCTTGTGACCTAAAGTTGTTAAAAGACTATCCATTATCAAGAGAAGCACAGAAAGCAGGGATTGGCTCAGAATTTAATGTACACATGAATCACCCCGGGCTCTTCTGCAAAGGCAGATTGTGATTCAGTGGGTCTGGGGCGGGGCCTGAGAATCTGCATTTCTAACAAGTTCCCAATTCATGCCAGTGCTGGCATTTTGTGTCACATTTTGAGAAGCAAGGGGAGCAGGGGATTACCCCACTGAATGAATTTTAAATGGATTATAAAAGATTAAAAAAGCTACATTTGGGGGAATTCTCTGGTGGTCCAGTGGTTAGGACTTCCACTGCAGGGGGCCCATGTTCAGTCCCTGGTCAGGGAACTAAGGTGTCACGTGGCAAGGCCAAAAATTTTTTTTTTAAAAAGGTGCGTTTTCAATGTTCATTTCAGCACTATTTACAATAGCCAGGACATGGAAACAACCTAAGTGTCCATCGACAGATGAATGGATAAAGAAGATGTGGCACATATATACAATGGAA